CCTCCCCCCCTGCACCTCCCCTCCCCTCATACCTCAGGCTGTCCAGACCCCTGCTACCCCTTCCTCAACAGCCTCCTCTTTCCCATGCTGGTTCTTTAAGATTTTATAAAACTGTTCTTGGTCCAGGAATGTGCTAGAAGCATCTTCCCCTTCCCCTTCCCTCCCCACTACTCGTCCTCATCATGGCTGCTAGCCACCAATGCAGGAAGCTGCTCCAGACCTCATGCCCTGGCTTTGCCCTCTGCCCCCTGCCCTGTCCTTGCATTCACTGTTTGTTCCTGGTGTTTTTAGCCTCCCTGTAGAAGCGTAGCTCTGCCCAGATTTCAGTGTGGCCAGCGCCTAGGAACGACAGGACCCACAGAGGGACAGGACTTAAAGCACAGCAGGCGCCGCACCCCGGGCTCCTGGGCCTGCTGCCTCCTGCCTGCCATACACAGCCTCCGCCCATGCGCATTCCTTCAGCCCCCTTCAGGGCCCATCAAGTCTCTGCACAGGTGGCTTGTGCACAGGCCTGGCTTCTGCACACAGATCCTTGATTCTCTCCTTCTACACCTTCTGCCCTCCTCCCCCAGCACCTGCCCCCACCCCCTGACACCCCCCTCCCCTCCTGCCTAGCAGCCAGTCAGGCAGTGCAGCTGGAGATGCCTACATCTCCCTGAGGGTGGGTGCAGAGGCACGTCACAGGAAGGAGAGTCCTCAGGGTGCAGGGTGTGTGTGTGTGGTGGGGGGACAGTGTCTGTCCATTCTGGGAAATAGCATCAGCACTGTTAGTGCCTGTCACCATAGCAACCTGAGGGCAGGACCAATCAGGGATGTGAGCGATGTGTGCAGAAGAGCAGGGTGGTGGGAAAGGGCTGGTGGGGACACACAGCTCTGGAGATCTCTGAGTGGGAAATGGGGGGACAGGGAGCAATGCTCCCTTGTACCCCACCTCACACCTGGGCTCAGACTCAGGGATACCCTTCCCTATGCAGCGAGGCTTTTCATTTTAGGAATTGGGGTGGGGAAAGGTAGACATGGAAAGAAGAAACAGGGGTCCAAGGGTTCTTCTGCAGTGCTAGGAGATGTCGTCCAAGTTAGGATGGTCAGGGATGGACTTGAGCTTTATGCACAGCAGAGGAACTAAAATGAGGATTCCAGCATGGCTGGGCGGGGGGGTGGTGAGGGCACCCCATAAGGTGCAGTAACTTCTGCTGCAGTCCACCAGCAGTTGGGTGCAAACTGCAAAGCAAGGAGGTGAGTGATGGATTGGGGTGCTAGGTTTGCCTCACACTGAAGTCTGTGCAGTTGTCATCCGGGGTTGCTGGGAGCTACTTCCAGGGTCACTGCAGAAGTCCTTTGCTGGGGCCTCCTTTGGACCTCTGAGTAGGCTAAGTGTCCTCATGGCACACCAAGTGCTTTTCCCCAGAAAATGGAGACAGACAGACACAGAGACAAAGAGGAATCAAGACAAACTGCAGGGTGACCTGTGTTACTGGCCACACAAACCAATCCTGAGGGAGCACAGACCACATGAGTTGGCGATCGTGGGGGACTGGCTGCCATGTCAGCCACTTGCCAGCCGGGTTTGTCGGCTTTGTATTGCTATAGTGAGATGCCTGAAGTAAATAACTTACAAAGAGAAAAGGCTTGCTTAGCTCATTTTCTGGAGTTTGCATCCTGTGTCAAGCTTTGATGTGTGTCCAGCACACAGGGGCAGCTGGACTATAGAGGTCTCTAAAAGGAAGAGTCCAGGACATGTGTGTATGTGTGTGTGTGTGAGAGAGAGAGAGAGAGAGAGGAGAGCGTGAACATGTGTACATGCGTACTTCCTGCTGCCTGACTTCTCCCAAGCACCCAGATCAGCCTAGAAACATATTTGGGGGCAGACAAGAAGAGGGGGGGTAGATGAGTGAGGGGTGTGGCCAGGCCTGTGTGCCCTGTGGCTGTGACAGTGGCCTGCCAGCGCCCTCCCTTTGTGTCTCCCTCTCTCCTCTTAGGTGTTCCCCTGCTGTTTGTCATCCCCTGGGGCATTGTCAAGTACCTCTATGAGGATGAGGGGTGAGTGTCTCGCTGTGTATGGGGGGGGTACTGCGGTCCCCATCCTCAAAGCCCAGGGGGTTCTTCAATCTCAGAGCATCAATTGGGAGGACACCAAGGGACCAGAAACTTAATTTGTGAGTTCCAGGTCCCCCGTTCCCTGCCCCTTCTTCTGCCCCCGCCCTGGGATGGTGTGGTGGCAGGTGGCCCATGGCGTCCTCTGCATGGAACCCCTCCCCCCCCACGAGTGAAGTGTCTTGTGTCGTGTAAGATATGCTGGAAGCACACATCTCCATGAGAGGCTAGTTGGGGACTGTGTGTGACCATGTTCTGGGGATGTGTGTGTGTGTGTGTGTGTGCGTGCGTGCGTGCGTGCGTGTGTGTGTGCGTGCGCGTGCGTGTGTGTGTGTGTGTGTGTGTGCGCGCGCGCATGCGTCTAAGCTTGTGGGGCTGGTTGTTGGGTAGCCGCGGTGGCTGTGGGTGGCAGGCCCTCTGTCTTTTCTGCCCTGAGCTCTGGACGCATTTGTGCCTCTCCCGCTCTCCCTTCCCAGCTGTTGGACCAGAAACTCTAACATGAACTACTGGCTCATTATCAGACTGCCCATTCTGTTTGCCATCGGGGTGAGTCACGGTGTGGGACCCATGGGAACGTGGGCTGGGGTCTCGGGGGGAGGGGAGGGAGAGAGGATCCCAGCCTCCTTCCCATGTGCTCCGCAGGTGAACTTCCTCATCTTCATCCGAGTCATTTGCATCGTCGTGTCTAAACTGAAGGCCAATCTCATGTGCAAGACGGATATCAAATGCAGGTGACTGGAGCCGGCCGGCTCTGCGGGGCCCCTCCATCCTCCCCAACAGCAGAGAACAATCCTGGCATGTGTAGCATGGAGCTGCGTGACCCTGTCTTCACCCAGGCCAGGCCTGAGACTCCCTCTCCCCGGGCTTTTCCTTCAGCCTGTCTTGGGTCAAACGCTGGGTTTCTGGAGCCTTGAGCTCTATCCTTCCCACCAAGCGGCTTGTCTCAGGAGAAGAAGGGCATCCATCACCCAGCCAGAGGAAGGGGGGAGGGCACCGAGGGGAAGGGGAGTCCATGCTTGAGGCCAGAATGACTCCCCGGGTCTTCCTGTGCCCTTCCCCCTCCCCCCAGGCTTGCCAAGTCCACCCTGACGCTCATCCCCCTGCTGGGGACCCACGAGGTCATCTTTGCCTTCGTGATGGATGAGCACGCGCGGGGGACCCTGCGCTTCATCAAGCTGTTCACGGAGCTCTCCTTCACCTCCTTCCAGGTGACTTGCAGCGCGGGAGATGAGCATGGGAACTCTGGAGTTGGGGGGTGGGGATGAGGAGAGAGCCAGCTTCATAGATGGGAAAGACAGGCAGAAGCTGGGGGAGCAGCCCATGCCCAAAGTCGCGGATAGAAGCAGTGCCACAGGTAGCACCCAGCCCGTCTTGTCTGTAAGTCATCAGGACAACAGCTTTCCCGGACAGAGAGAGGTCCGCGCCATCCCTTGCAGGAAGTGCCCTGCAAGATGGTTTATATACCATACACTGCACTGGTGAGCAAGATCACTCTTGCATTACAGCGCAGGAAACAGGCTCAGAAATGTTGCGGCCAGATTGACTGGGATCACGTAGCTTCGAAGCAAACCCGACCCTCTCAGCTAGCCTTAGATGCCACTGTAGGGGTGTAGGAACACAAGAAACTGACCTCAGCCCCTCAGAGTGTTGTAGGGTGCCCCCAAGCATGGGGGCTCACGTGGGTGCACTCACCTACACAGAGAACCCAGTTCTGGAGCTCTGGGAGTGACATGAGGCCCGGGGTGGATTCTGGGCCCTCATGAGCTCAGGCATCCTCAAGAAACGGAAACAGCAAAGGTTTTAAAGCACCGAGTAAGGGACCTCTTACTCCTCAGAAAGGAAATCAGAAGGAACACTTTCCTGGCTCAGTCTGGGAAGTTGAGGGGCGGGGCCAGTGTTGAAGTTCCCAAGCACTTCCTTCCCGGCCAGGTGCCTCCCTCCTGCTCCCTTCCTGCTCACGTACCTCTTGCTTCCAGGGGCTGATGGTGGCCATCTTGTACTGCTTTGTCAACAACGAGGTAAGATACTGCCACTGTCTGGAGTGTAGCTGTGCCCATGGGAACTCCCAGCGGCCGTTTTAGTCAAGACCCCCACATAACCCACTGCAGCCTAGGATTGGGGACACATCTTGTTTGGCATGCATGCCTCCCTTCCTGTCTCAGCCCTTATCTATAAGACAGGGGTAAAAATCCCTATTAAGTAAATACAGCATGCCAATGGTGGGAAATGGAGCTGGCCCGAGAATAAGACCTTCCTCCAGCTGGGTGCTTGCTAAAGGCCCGTTCCATCCCACTTGGCATGGGGAAATATGTTCTTCTATCTCATGGATGCTCAGGAAACAACAGTTCTTCTGTTTCCTTCCAAAATCTAGAGTTTCCCAGGGACAAAGGGCATTACAGAGGAAGTGAGGCAGGGCAAGAGGAAGGAGAGGAGAGTTTTCCCCCTTTTACAGTCTCCGCCAGCTTCCAGCTTCCCTGAACTGGGGTGTGTGTGTGTGCGCGCGCGTGCGCGCGCGCGTGTGTGTGTGTGCGTGCGTGCGTGCGTGCGTGTGTGTGTGTGTGTGTGTGTGTGTGTGTCGGTCCTGGGGCTTAACCTCAGGGCGTGGGGCCCTTGAGACACAGCTCCATTCTAGCTTTTTGGTGGCTAATTGGAGATGAGCCTCACAGACTTTCCTGCCATGGCTGGCTGGCTGTAGACCACGATCCTCAGATCTCAGCTTCCTGAGTAGCGAGATGACAAGCGTGAGCCACTGGTCCCTGCCTGGGAGCACGTGACCTTCAGATCTCTAAGAAGTGAGGGAGACCCTGTTTCCAATGTGCCTTCTGCATGCAATGTGCGCAGTCGTTTTATGATAGCCAGTCCTGTGCATCAGACATTCCCCCATACCACAGAGAGAGAGAAGTATGGGTTGGAAAGGTGAAAGGCTAGCCCCAGATGAGTCCTCATAAAGAAGCTGGTGTGGACTTTGGAGGACCAGCTCTGCGGGGCAGCCTCCCTTCAGGAATGCTTCTGAGCTGGAGCGGGGATGAGCACCCGCCTGGAGCTCTGAAGCTGGCGTGCCGGCCTGGCAGAGCTGTGGACAGGGGCAAGGCAGCCTGAGTCCCTGGGGGAGTGAGGAGCAGGGGTCCCTGAGGAGACACTGAGGCTGCCACCCCGTCAGCTCGAGGCCTTGTCTTCCCTTCCCCTTCCTGTCTCCAAAGCCACACATTTGCTGCCCATGTGTTTGTAGAATCTCTCCCGACTCCTTCTCCTGACTCCATCCTCCAAACCCAGCCAGCCAATACCTCCCTCCTCTCCCGTCATCCATGGCTGGCCCAGCTTTGTAAGGAGGGAGGGCTGGGCCCACATGTCTGCTCTGCCCCTGGCAGAGAACTTGACCCTGAATCCCCAGCATTGCATTTTCCTGGCCAGACCTATCTAACTACAGGCCCCGCTGGCCTCTCAGCGGGCTGGTCCCACAGGTCTAGGAGACCCCATTCAGAAGATGGGGGGGTTCTATCTCTTTACCGTCTACTGCCCACTCCCTTTAAGCCTGCCCCAGTGTCCCTTCCCGCTCTAGTATCTCCAGACGCCACGCCAACACCGGTTCACAAGGGACACAGTAGCTCTTGGGCTGAGGCCTCTGCCCACGGAGCCAAAGTTTCCATGGTAATGCCAGGTACTTAGGACTCGAAAAGATGGCCTGAGGATTGTGCTATTGTGGCTGTAAGGCCTGTGCCTGCTTCCAGGAGGCAGAGAGCGGGAGCAGGGGCAGGTGCCTGGAGCTGGGTCTGCGGGACCTCAGGTCTGAGGGCCAACACAAGTGGACTCAGGAGCCATGAATGCCTGGCTGTGTGACCCAGGGCAAATCACTACCTCCTTTGTCTCCTCTCCCCGGTGAGCGAGGGTCACTGAAGTGTGGCATGGTGGCTGACCAGGAAGGGGGCTCAGGGCATGTTAGCTGGGCTGCAGAGCTCAGGGGGCCAGGAGGATGTGAGGTCAGACCAGGAGAAAGTCCTGGGCCAGGCCGGGGTCCAGGGATCCATGCTTAGTTGATTTTGAAATTTGAAAGATCAGTGAAGTCAGGTGCCCATCCATGTACTTGTCCGTTTATCTGACTCATTCAAACCCAGTGAGTGAGTTCCTGGTGCACGGATACACAAAGGAGGAAGACATGATCCCAGCCACATCTTACCCTCAAGGAGACCCCCTGCTAACAGGGGAAAGGAAACATGGCTGGGGACAAGCAGAGCCTTAAGAGTTGTAGGCAAGGGACCAATCATTAAGAGCTGGGCCCTGAAGCCAGGTTCAATCTAGGTTCAACCTGGGCCAAGTCCTAGGGAAGATGTTTAAGAACTCTGAGCCAGCTGCGCACCAGATGCTCATGCATGTAATCTCAGCTATTTAAGAAGGCTGAGATCTAGGGATCCGTTCAAAACTCTTTGGGACTCTTTATTTCTGATAAGCCAGCAAAGAGCCAGAGGTGGAGGTGTGGCTGAGGTAGTAGAGCTTTAGCCTTGAGCAGACAAGCCAAGTAAAGCCCCGAATTGAAATCCTGGTTCCCACACACAGAAAAAGCAAACAAAAATCCTCTGTGTCTCTCTGTTTCATTTCTATGCGGAGAATGAAAGGGGACTAAGGAAATCGATGGGAAATGCTGGGTCCTTGCATAATGCTTCTTAAGGGTAATTGTGATTATGGGAGCCACCATGGAGGTTCAGAACAAAGTGCCAAGGGAGCTGGAGCTGGAGCAGGCCAGCACTAAATCCAGCTGCTGCCCCTGTGGCTTCTTTAGTTTACTATCATTACCTGCGTCCCCGGTGCGAGGCTGTGGGAGAAGACTGACCTCCCCTGCACATGTGCAAAGGGAGGCCACCCTCTGTCTCAATGTCCCCTCTCAGCTGCCTGATTGTTGAGCTGGGCAGCCAGATGCTGGCCATGGGGAGTATCTGCTCAGCCTCCTTCCCTCCCCCGCCTGGACCTGGGCTCCCAGACGCTGCCCGGGATACCAGGCCGTCCTGCCAGGCAGGGTCTGGGCCATCTCACTCAGCTTGACTCAGAGCAGAAGTTCTTTTAAGGGATGGCATGCGGCCACACCAGGCGTCTTGCTGGGCTTAGCCAGCTGGGTGACAGAGGAGGAGAAGGGCTGTTTGCGCAGGAGCCGGCAGGAGATTGGCTGAGAGCCCCTGAACTCCTAACTGCTGGCTCTCCTAGTAGTTTGGTTTTGAGACGAATGGAAGCCCCGACAAGGCTGGGGCAAGATTTAGGGACATCAAGCCCGGCACCAGTGGCTCACGCCACTCAGGAGGCTGAGATCTGAGGGTCATGGTTCAAAGCCAGCCAGGGCAGGAAAGTCTGTGAGATTCTTATCTCCAATTAATAAACCAGAAAACTGGAAGTGGCACTGTGTCTCAAGTGGTAGAGCACTCGCCTTGAGCTGAAGAGCTGAGGGACAGCGCCCAGGCCCAGAGTTCAAGTCCCATGACTGACAGAAAAAAAAAAAAAGGACATCAAGAGAGAAGGCTCTTTTTTCTCCTCCTCCTCCTCCTCCTCCTCCCCCCTCCTATTGTGCCTGTTCTGGGGCTTGAACTCAGGTTGGATACTGCCCCTGAGTTTGCTTGCTCAAGGCTTAGCATTCTACCATTTGAACCATAGCTCCACTTCCAACTTCTTTGGTGGCTAACAAGATGAGAGTCTCATGGACTTTCCTGCCTCATCTAGCTTCAAATAGCAGTCCTCCATCTCAGCATCCTTAGTAGCTAGGATTACGGGAGGGAGCCACTGGTGTCAGGTGATAAGGCTCTTCTGTGATCCAGAGACACTCCCCGCCCAGCACTGTGGGAATCCTGGTTGGCTGAGTTCATCTGGATTGTCTGCCTCTTTGGTGCTCACTGTGGTCTCAGCTTGGGATTGGTTGGGAGCCAGGCAGGGAAGCCCTGGGCCACAGTTACCTCTGCCTCCTTGCTTCCTTCTCTATCCCCCCCCCCCCACATACTCAATGTGGTGGGTGGGTGGGGATTGGAGGAACAGCCTCAGGGTAGAGTTTAGACCGTGGGGGAGGGCTAGGGATGAGCCCTCCATCAAAGAGCCTGTTCTAAACCCACACTCCTCTCCAGGGATGCTTCCATCCCAGCATGTCTCCTCGCGCTCATTCCCTTCTGTGATGGATTGTCAGAGGTACTTAGCTGAATCAGAATTTAGAGATGGAAAAGGCCAATTAGGTCACCAAGCCCATCCTCTCTCCTGAGGAGAGGCAGAAGATCAGAGACAACAATAAACAATTTTATTGCGATATTCATTTTAGGCGCCCGAAGGCCTTGACTTGTGTCTCTTAATATAATGCAGCGGATTTTTCCCCCTTCCCCACTAATGTAATAATAGGGCTATTCTATGGGCAGTCAGTTGGCATCGGTGCCTTTTGTTTCTCTCCTTGTTTCCCCTCGGAAGGTCCAGATGGAGTTTCGGAAGAGCTGGGAGCGCTGGCGACTCGAGCATGTGCACATGCAGAGGGACAGCAGCATGAAGCCCCTCAAATGTCCCACCAGCAGCCTGAGCAGCGGGGGCACCGTGGGCAGCAGCGTGTACGCGGCCACCTGCCAGGCCTCCTGCAGCTGAGCCCCCGCCCTGCCCTTCCTGTGGTCCTTGTCAAAGCAGCCATCCCAGGTGGGAGAGACCCTCCCAGGGACAGGGGAGAGACACCCACACCTACATCCCCGCTTTCCCTCCTCCACCCCATCAGACGGGCAGATGGACAGGGCCTCCTGGGATCCTGGACGCATTTTCTCTGAGGAGAAGCAGCCGGCTAATTTGATCACGGTGGCAGGAGGAGGGGAAAAAATGACTTGAGCTAAAAAAGAGGAAGGTTTCTTCCTGGTAAGCCACAAGGCCCTTGGGGTTCCCCCCGCCCCGCCATCTAGACAGAACAGCAAATCAACCCCAGACTCACGCTTAAACTCAAGGTCAATGGCTTATTAGTGGGGTCATGGCTTGCAAGAGGAGGTTGTTCTGCAAGAGGCCGATGTAACCTCCGTCCAGCACAGCACTTTGCCACGTGAGCCAGCTCTGCCCGCGTCCGCCTGGGGTGCCCAACCTGTCTGCCTTCTTCAGGAAGGCTCTCCTGGCGTCTGGGTTGCTTGTTTTCATCACCCTTCTGCTCAGTTCCTCCCCGGGAGGGCTGTGCTTGGGCCACTGGGAACAGCTGTTTCTGGAAACGGCTGTGTGTGGTACCAAGAATGCCATGATGGTCTTCCCTGGCCGGCACCCACTTCTGGCTGTTGGAATGACGCTGCTGTCTGCTTCCACCATACCCAGGGGATCAGGGCAGGCCTGCCGCTGGGGCGCCCACCCTGGAACACGCGTTCCCAGGCCTTTCTAACGATGCAGGGGGTTCCAGTGAGGCTCATCTAGGGACGTGTAAGAACATCCCCCGCTGTGGGAGTAGATTTCCCGCCATGGCTGGGAATGGGGGAGGCACGAGGTGGGGGTGAGGAGAGCTATCGCCCCCCCTCCCTGTGGGAATCTCAAATGGAAGTTTGGGTACACCCTATAACCTCAGAGAAAGCCAATGAGACCCAGCCCATGTCAATACAGCTCCCACCCCCCCACCCCCCACCTTCAAAATACACACACATGCACGCACGCACACACACACACACACACACACACACACACACGGAGTGTGTGTATCTCTTACTACTTTTCCTTTATTTCTGTGAGTAGTCTGTGTGCAAATGTGCCATTCTGACTTCTCCCACCTGCTCAAAACAAGAACTCAATCATGTTTGCTGTGCTGATGTTTGGGGGAGTGGGGCAGTAATTAATTTGATTCACCCACACTTTGAGCTAATTAATGTTTGTCCTGCTGCCAGCCTCTCATAAGTAATGAGTAGCACAAAGGGTGGATGGGGGGGGGGAGGAAAATTATCTATTAATCCTGTCCCAAGCCATGGGAAGGAAGCAGACAAGTAAGCAGCATGACAGACAGACAGGAAGGCAGCCATCATCAGGAAGCCAAGGAAGTTTCTAGAGCAGGAGAGGACCTCCTGGAGTCAAGGGGTAAGGGAGGGGTTTGGGTGGATTCACTTGTGCGGTGATCCTCCTCCTGTTTACACCAGACACATCCTCCTCTGCCCCTCAGAAAAGACGTGGTGTACTGGGAGAATAATAATGGCACATAAAACACATCAAGCAGAAAATTCCTTAGCCTTCAGTCTCAGTGAAGTGTTGGGTCTGTGTTAATAGGGAAGCGGAACCTTGGGCTAAAGAAGGGAAGTGCAGCCAGGTTGTCTCTTTGACCAGACGATGAGGCAGGTAAGCAGGGGTGGGGGGTGGGGGACACCAGGACAGCCTTCCCACTATCAGCACACACTTGCAAAAAGTCCTGTCTGGGAGCAGCTGGAAGACGTGAGCTGCCGGGTTGATGTCACTACAGCTGGGGTTCAAGAACCTCAGTTTGGGGTCAATCTTTCATTATCATTAAGTAGCTGTACAAAGCGGTTACTGTTCAGCATGACAAGTTAATAAGTACAACGCATCGTGATCCCTTTCACCTTCTCATCATCCATCTCTTCCAAGCCACCCCCTTCCTTCCGGTTCCCTGGCTTCACAGGATACACACACTGTGTTCTACCCGCTTCCTCTCTTCAGACACACACACACCCCACCATGGAATGATTTTTGAGGATTGTTAATACATCACACAAAGGCCAAGAAAAAGATAGATGTGTAGAATCTTACAGAAACGACCTGTCAAGGGGGAAAAAAGCACTCATAGGTCAACCAGACAATCTGGCTTAAACTCTTTTGTTCTTTGCCCAGCTGGAACCGGTGGTTCCCAGTGTGGGGACCCATGCCCTTTCCACGCTGAGGAATCTGGTCTTAGATGCATAAACAAATGCAATGAAAGGAGTCTTCCCTGTTCCCAAACCTGTGCTATTAATATGCATGTGGTTGGTTCTAAACTCCCTTCGAGCTATTCCCAAACTTGCCTAAGCTAAATATAGCTCCCACAGGCAGGTCTGGGAATGGTCGACGGCAAGTATATTCTGAAATTCCACTAGCTGTTTACATGCCTAGTCAGCCTAAGCCTCTGGATTGCTGAGAACTCTGGCCTGCTCCAGTCCCAGGGCTACTATACTAGCCAGAGGCTGCAGGCCCTGATTGGCTTGCACTCTGAAGGCTGGTGTGAGTGGCATCTGACTTCAGTACTCTGGCCAGCTCCCTGGAACTTGGGAGGGGCTTACTTAGATTCTGTCAACTCCTCTCCGCCCTTTGTCTGAGCAGCTACATCTCAGAACTTCACAAGTCACACTGCCAAATTGTCTTCTCTGTAAACTGGCTTTCTGGATGGCAGGCATGGATTGGGCGGCTTCGCGGCCACCTCTAGCCCACAATTTAATGGAGTTCTGGGTGACCCAGGGGCAGGAAAGATCTTGAAGACTTCTAGCCTGATCCACAGCAGCAAGGAGTAACACTGGCATGGGCCACAGGCTCTGCTGCAGAACTAGCTGCCCACTCCAGTGAGGCCTTTGGGAAGGACGAGGGCAAAGATGCATGGGCGTTCGACATGTGCTAAGTGGAGGTCAGCACAGATACATAAGGTGGTGCAAGCAGCACCCCTTTGGTAATTTACACTGGCAAGAGGAAGGAAAGATGGTTTATGTTGTCTTCTAATACCTCATTCATCTTTGTCTTAAAGTTAGAAAACAAGAGTCATAGTAATGGCATGTGAGCTATTTTGGATAAGCAAATCCAGCACACTTTACGGAATTAGCTTCATTTTTGTTTTGTTTAGGTCTGTGTGTGTGTGTGTGTGTGTGTGTGTTTGAAAAGTTGTGCTTCTAGCCACACAGAAATATACTAAAAAGAACCCAAAAGAGGTCTTGAACTTCCCCTTCACCTCTCTAGTACTTCCCTGTACGTGGAGGAGACTGGCAAGAAAGAACGGAGCCATAGCCACCCAGTCAGGACAGCACAGTGGTATGAATGGCAAGTGGAGTCCATGAGCTTCTGCATCCTGAGAGGCTTGCCTTCATCAGATCTGCTGAGAGGCTGATTTCCTCTTCCTATGCCTTCCCTTGTCTGTCTTCCCCCCCGAGAGAAGTGTGTGTGTGTGTGTGTGTGTGTGTGTGTGTGTGTGTGTGTGTGTGTGTGTGTGTGTGTGTGTGTGCAGCATCCTGGGCCTTCCAGCATAAAGGGCATGATGCATGATGAGTCGAATCATCGCCTCCGCCGGCTGAGTAGCAGAGATGAGGAGGGCTCGGGGTCTGAATGCTAGATGCTTCCTTTCCATGCGCACACAAGCCTCCTATTATGGCTAATTCCTACGACGTGCTCAGGGAAGGCAAAATATATTCCAAAGGTTTATTTTCCCTCCATGGAATTTATTCTAATCTACAATGCTGACCCTGCTTTTGGCTTTCAGGAGGTAAATAGTACACACACAAGATATGTAGGCTTACTCTGCTAGCATGGCTATATGAATGACATTCTAAATATTCAGCAGAAACCAAATTAGCATCAACTCACTTATTTTTTTCCTTCCTTGCATGGCTGGAGTAAATTATTCTGGGAAAGAAAATATGAAAAAAAGAAAAGTGGGGCAGGGGAAGCATCTGTCAACATTACCAATGCCCCTACACCTACCCTGGACCTGCTGGCTGGAACCAGCCCTCTCCGAGCCCTCTCAGGAAGTGTGGTTAAGCAGTCTAATTTCAAACACTTTACTTAATGCCACAGTCTGTCTACAGTAGCTATAATTATTTCTACTCTGTCAATGGATACAGACTGGCAGGAAGCAGATAAGCGTAATGGTTTTCCAATAACCAAGTCTCCTGTGCTTTGCCTACATCTGAATCTCTCCGAGGAGAGAGATTTCTTGTCTCTGCCAGTTTTTCAGGGCCTCATCTAGTCATGCCTGTGCTCTTCCCGAATCCATCCACCCTCTCTCCCCTCACTCCATCCCCATCCCCTATCTTTGAAGAGGTGACCCTGCTTTGCTAATAGCACAAATGCCATGCATTCAGCTGTGACCAATTTAGGGGTGCAGCCAGGGTTGAAAATAATGGACTACATTCCCTGGCATGGAGAGGCAGACCATGGCGTGGAACCCCACATACACTAATTTTATGGACCCTTCCTGAGCAGGCCTGTCAAACCATCAGTAACCATTCAACCCAGACAATTTAGCAGGACTAATGTCAAAGCAATCAAAGAGAAGACAGACATATGTAAATGAGAATGTGGTCAGCCAAGAACTCCCTCTACCCCAATTCAGACTCTGGAGCAATGTCATAATTTGGGAAGGGGTTGAACGGGGGGGGGGGGGAGAGCCTGGGAACCACTGAGGCCCTCACAGAAAGGGCAGGATTCACCCAGATGCCCTGGGATGGGTCTTGACAAATGGCTCACATGCAGCTTCCAAACCTGCAGTTCAAGCTTCCCACACTAACAACCACCATCTTTAAAGCAGGTGAACTTCAGTAAGCCATTCATTTCCGAGGGACTTGATGCAGGTCTTGAAATGAATGTGGCTAGAGAGGGGAGCCACGCTCTCACAAGAGATGAAGTCACCTTTCTGTCCCTCGGCGCCTGCGGGAGATGTTTGCTCTTCATGA